CAGACAGACAGACAGAGACAGGCAGGCATGCAGGAAGGCCAACACACATATTTGTATCTATATATATATACACACATGCACATGCATGCATTGCAGCATGCACACATACGGAAACACACACACACACATACAAGCGTACTCACATACACACTTACATACATGCATGCACATACACATGCACAGGCACATAAACATACACGATACACATACACACACACACACGTATACACATAAACATGTATGCAACGCTGGGTGACTGTATGCATGTATGTATGCTTTCGTGCATGTGCGCGTGTGTTTGCCGGGAAACGAGGACCCATATTTTATAACCCTAAACCCTAAACCCTAAACCCTAAACCCTAAAGCCCTCAACTCTACACCGGAACCGCGAACCCTCAACCCTAAAGTCCACAAAGCACTCAACGGTCATCAAAGGCCCATAGCAAGAAGAACGTCGAGCTTCCTACGAAGAGCACCTCCTCAGGAGATAAGCCAGACAAGACTTTAAGAAATCAAGGACTTTTTGCCGTCTATGGTCGTTGCATGTTAAGCGTCAAAGCTTAGACACCCAAACTGGCCCTAAACCCTAAACCCTGAACCCCAGACTTGCCCTGGGGGTTCCAAAGCGCATTCCTGAGCCATCGGCTCCATGTTGTCCACCAGGATGGAGGTGTGGTATGCCTCGTCCGCCACTTGAGAGCTTGCTTGCAGCAGGTTGCGCAGAGCAGATCCCTACACCCCCAACTCAAACCCTAAACCCCAAACCCTAAACCCAAGTCAAACCCTTCACCCTGGATCCCTAAATCCTAAACCCCTAGACCCCAAGGCGATAAGTGTGAGGGTTGCGTAATATAGGGGTCTTAATAATTAGAACAGTCGTTGCGGGTATATTGTTATGTTACGTTACAATTCTAATTAGTAGAGAATAAACCTCGAGCCCGAAATCCGAAACCCTGAACCCGAAACCCTGAACCCCGAACCCGAAACCCTAAACCCCAAACCCTAAACCCTCGAGAGGGGTGTAGAATTTATTTTGGCCCTC